CACCGCGCGGGCCCCCCCCTGCCGCCGCGAGTCCTGCTCTGTTGGTGCTCGGTTACCGGCGGTCGCTGCGTGCCCTTCGCCGCGCGGTGCTGCTGTGGCGGCCGCGCTCCTGCTGTGTCATAGAAACTGTTCTCCTTTTTTTATACTGTTGGCAGATCGGAAAAAAACATTTCTGGCGATACTGGAGCTATGAAAAAGTAACTTCAAAGTGACCGGGGGAAGCAGGCAGCTGTCTCAAGCTGGCATTCTCATCCCGGTTAGCTTTAAAGAACTCTTGGATCTGTTTTTCAAGAACCCAGCAGGTGTAGTTCCCTCTGCCAAGCAACAGTAAAGCAGCACTTTGTAAAACCAGCTATTGATCAGAGGCCAGCTTTTGCAGTGGGGTTATTTGCATGGGCTTACTCAGCCAGAGTAACTTACAACTGTGAAGGACAGCTAAATCTGAAGAGTTTTTGCTCCGTACTCGTATTGCTTGCTTTCCCTTTTTCACCTCAGAAACCGTGTGAAACTTATTCCCTGTCACACATTCACTGTTTGACTGTCGATATTTAAGTCGGTGAATCATCTCCCTTCCTTCGCAGATGCCCTCAGAACATGCCTGATTGGACAAGTCTGTGGTATGTCTGGTGAGTTTATTATTACTCTTACTAACCCAGAGTAATGTGAAAGTTATTACGGACAGTAGCTGCGGTAAGGTAATGGAAACGCGTTGCTCGGAGACAGGCTGGAGGAGAGGGTTTCTCCTCAGTTTGATGAAGGCGCCGAGGGGAATGCGTTTCAGCTGAGGCCGCAGGGCAGATACGGTGTCGGGCAGGGTGCAGCATTCGTCCAGGGCTATGTCATCTTTCCTTTCCGAGCGCCCTGCAGTTTGGCTGTGGGGCTTGGGTGTTCTTCCTAAATAGACGACTGCTGAGCAGGGCACGGACTTGCTGGGGCTCAGCCCCGCCTTGCTGAACGCGCAGTCCTCAGCGCTCTCCCTTTTACGGGACGGGAGGGTGAGCTTATGGTGCTGCGTTTTCATTCTGAACTCGAGCTGATGACAAACCTGTTTGCTGGCTGTTTGGATGACGGAAAGGGGGAGAACAGTGCCAAGTTGAAGAGCAAGCTCTTGCCACAAGCGGGTTTGTCTCTTGCCTGACACATGCATTATAGGTGTCCTGACACTGTATTTATAGTTTGCATGCGCCAGTATCTGGACTTCGATGGTAGCACGCAGAGTGAGTTGGTTAGTTTTAGCTGTCATTCGGTCTGGGCTAATTTCAGTCAATGTTCTTTGCTTTCTTGATCCATAGAACGGTTTAAAAAGACACAGTTACATAAAATATTTTAAGAAGACTTCTGTAATTAGGCAGTGTTGAAATCATGAAAGCTACTGAGCTAGCGCTAGGATTTATACTGCCAGGATGCCCTTACCTAGGTGATTTCTGCCTGCCCCGGGGGGCACCAGCGTAGCAAGGCACACCGATTTCACAGGACGCACGAGCGTGCAGCTCTTGGAGTGTCG